CCCACCAAGCGACTGCGGTCCCTGTTCTGAGGGAAAGTTAAGAGTTTTTTTATTTTTCTTATCAAGCCTCACGGCACCTCTTTTTGAAAATCTTAGTATTTTTTCTGGTTACCAACATCAAATATAAACCTTGATGATGATGCAAACGTTACCGTTTGTTTCCACTGAGAAGGAAACATTTGAGTTTCCTCCTGCATTAAAAGCAAACCTTGAGGACCCATGTCTTGTAAATTCATCCAGCGTGGATTATCTACTGTACTTAACAAGAACATTTGTGTTAGCCAAGGCAAACAAGCCCACCTCCACAAATATTCAGTCAAGCACACACTTGTTGCGTCTGGTGGTGGCTGTGGTGAAAGTGAAGCCTCTCTCACAACCCACCTCAGCTCCCACTGAGGATGTTGAGTAAAGTAAAAAACAAAAACTCTCAACTAAATACAAGTCTATAAGATAAAATCTAACATGCCGTCTTCCTTGGAAACCATCTGACTTTTGGTCAGAGCAATTTCCTCATTGCACCAAATATTCATTTAATAAAAAAAAAGATAAAAAAGAACAACTAAAGGTTTCTTAAGCTACAAACTACATTCTTGTCATGCGGGACACATTTATGTCTATGTGAAGTCATAATGCATCTTAAAACTTTGTGGGGGTTTTTTTTGTTTTGCTTTAATAAATCTGTTTGTTTCTGCAGTGAAGACTGAGTTCGATTCTGAGATCAGGTTATCTGCTGAGACTCCGTCAAAGTCCATCTTCAGCTTTCCATCAAAGAGTTGATTTCCTCACATCTATCTGTTTCCACAGCAACAGGGCAGCAGATTTTTACTGGTTTTCTGTTCATCCTACCAGTCATTGAATGAAGGGGGGGTCACTGTATACAGGTCAGTCCATCACCATCCAACAAAGACAACCAACCAGGTACACTCACTTCACCTTCAAACGTCATATCTGAATTCATAATAGGCCTAACATGCAGTATTCTAGAAAACTTAAATGGGAAAGAACCAAAGATGGTGTGGGCTTTTGGGACACACAAAGAAATGAAATTACTGGAGCCTAAATTTTATTTTATTTTTAGATGTTAGGGAGTGAACAGTGTTATGAAGGAATTATGACAAAGGTTTAAAAAAATGTGCTGATGTATAAACCTCCAAAAATGAAGTGATGGTCATTTAACCTGTGAATACAAAAAAGAAGGGGGGAAAGGTCATTGTGACAATTTTCTGCTTTGCAGAATGAGTAGAAGATGATTTGTTACATTAAAGAAAATCAACTCTTGATTTAACATTGGAGATGATTTTAATATGAAGGTGAAAGGAGAGGGAACTCTCCAAACAGATACTTGTAGAAACGGAGAAGTTGCAATGCTGTATCATCCAGGGTGACCATATTAGAAAATTGGGGTTGATATTCATGAATTAAGTTGTCTGTATTTAGAGAAAGATGCAGGTCACAAAAAGTGTGTTGAAGACTGTTGAGACTAAAGAGGTCAAGGCCACCTTTAGAGATGGGCTTGATGTGTACAAAATGGAGTTGTCAGCATACAAGTGGATACTACCAGCAGCATGAACAATGTTATTTATGTAAATTTTTTAAAAGGTGTTGGACCGAGTATGGACCCCTGAGGAACTCCCATAGGCAAGGGTAAGAGATCGGACTGGTAACCCCCACTGGTGTCTAGTGTGTAGACTCTGGTTCCAAAATTCCAACATGGCAGCTTGTGTAAACCAGTTCCTGCTGGCTTCAGTTCCCTACGAGGGTAGGCAAGGTCTCTTGATCTTCCAGTAGAATATTTGTATTGTGGGGACAGACTGAGAGCAGTGTCTTCCACTTAGGACCGTGGCTTCCACTGAGTACAGTGTCTTCTGTGGTGCTCCACGCATGCAGGACATCAAATAACCAAGAAAGCTGTCATGAGGAAGAACCCTCAAGTTTGTCCACAATTAACTGGATATTTTGAAAAAAAACAAAGATTTTCTCCTCAGGTTCATTGAAAAGGTTTGGATGAAAAGAAAATATATATATATTTTTTTAATTTATCTAACATTCCTTAAAGAAATGCATATCACCCACCAACCTACATGCCAAAGTTTTATACAAAGATCTAATGTGATCTGTCATCACTCACTCAGTGACTACCAAACGTTGACTGTGTATCTTCATGTTCACCTTCTGGCTGCCTGATTGGTTCCCAGAGGCAGCTTCTGTTTGACTCAGCCCTTCACCACACCCTGTCAGCAACAATCATCTGTTGCATTAAGCATCGGGTCTGAATCTGTGCCGGGAACTTCAGGGTGAATCGGTTCCCTTCTCCAATCCCAGACAAGAAATATCAGAAATTTACAAACGGGAGTGCGAGCGACAGAAAGCCATGTTTGGATCTGAAAGCTCCTCACCAGCAAGCTGCAACAAGACTGCCTGAAGTTGACTGTGTTGTTAGATAAGACTTTTCCTTGCTTCTGTTTGCGTTCTTCAAGACAGGACTTGTAAATGTTTCCATGGCAACGCGCTCAGCCCTGTATGTGCTACTGTACTCGACATGGTGCGAAGATTCAGAGGCTGAAGGTGAAAGCAGTTGTTTTCACGAGTTTAATCCTTCTTGAAAACACTTTGGAATTTAACTCGAGGCCTCAAAGAGCATCGGCTCACGAGACAGAAAGAGACGAGGAGGAAAGACCAAGGAACCAGATTAAAGCAGAAAATTAATGTCTGACTGGTGGTGATATCATGTTACTTGTATGAATTAGTCACCAACAGTGACACAACCTGGACTCCAATATTAGAGGAAAATTAACAGATTTGTCTTTTTTCATTGTGAATTCACGTCTAAGAGAAAAACGTTTACTCAACATGTCTTGCAGAATTTAAATCAGCTTTTAGTGTTCAGATTTAATGTCTAAAGATTGAAGCTTTTTCCTCGTGTCTTTATAAAGTTTGTCAAAATTGTTTAGGGTTAGGGTTATCCCAAAATGTGAGTCCCAACAGAGTGAATCTAAACTGACCGAGTCCCAACTGAGTGAATCTAAACTGACCGAGTCCCAACTGACCGAGTCCCAACTGAGTGAGTCCCAACAGAGTGTGTCCCAACAGAGTGAATCTAAACTGAGTGCGTCCCAACAGAGTGAATCTAAACTGAGTGAGTCCCAACAGAGTGAATCTAAACTGAGTGAGTCCCAACTGAGTGAGT